TGTGTGTGTGTTTATATTATATATATATAGAGAGAATAGGATATCATGCATATTTCATTAAATAGCATGTAAATAGACAAACTCAAGTACACTCTCTATCAGTGACACATTTATATACGTGCTTGAGTCATTTATATTAAAAGAGTTCAAAATGAATAAAAAACAAAACAACAAAAAGTGGTAATTATAATAAAAGTCAAAGACTGTCGAAGCAAGTACCGAGTAACATTTTAAGCAATTACAGATGGGAGAGCGAGAGGCGTAATTGACAGGAATATCAGTGAGGGAGAAGTGGCTTGACAGACTTCAGGGCATGATGATTAATTACCACAAGGCTTCTATGGGCTTTCCAATTTCCTCTCCCTTTCAGCTTAGGGCTCAGGGTGATATTGGTACAGTAGCTCTTATTTCACAGTACAGCGGGGAATGTCTTTCCCCTGCCCTATCCAAGAACCGATCGGGAGCGAAGAAGTCAGCCAAACACAGCCCAGCGTGATAAGTCCATGTAGCGTTACCACCCCGACCTGAATACAAACTAACACTTTAATTCACAACGGGTGTGAGATTATCACCACTAAAGGAACTGCAGCTCCCCCCCCTCCCTCCCCCAACCCTCCACCCCCCACCTCAGAATTTTAACTTCTCATTTATTTGCGAGTTATCTGTAAGTTGTCTATCGATGACCACTTCATTAATCACAACTCTGATTCATATATTCTCAGATAGGGAAACATCTTGGCGCCGATATAAATATGGTAAAAAAAAATAATAATAGTAAAAATCTGGATTGTTTATCACTAGGTTAAAAAAAATGAAAAGTTTATAGATATAATAGGAAGCAAAACTTGTTTTACAGCTTATTTTTAAAAAATGAAATAAAGGAGAAACACATTTTATAAGTGGTTTTACCACAAGGGTGGTGAAGGTTGTACGCTGCTAGTAATTATTCAGTTGACTGAACAATACTGGAAGCACGAAGTGCCTCTGTAATTGTGGTTATGGTGCTTCACACCGGCCCTGTTTTAAGGAAGCTGGGTAAGTCACACAGTCCACAGGAAAAAATGGGCGGCACTTGAACTTCTTACAAAATATTCAACACTAACGTTTGTTGTCGATTTTCAGGTGACTCTGAGCTGATGTAAGGTCTTTACACCTTCATTAGGACTGTGCCGTTTGATGGATTCAGGGTGGGGGGCAGCTCGCCACATGAAAATAATGCTTCGTTAACGGTTATGTGGATTTTAAAAATGTATGTCTCTTAAGTGAGCCATTTACAGAGTGTTTCCTGCCTCAGAATTACACCCTCTAAAGATTAGTCTTATACTGTCGTGTGTGTTTGTGTGCATGGATGTAAAACTATCAGTGGACAATTTCCCTGTCAGTTCCTTAAGGGTTTAAACTTTCTTGTCACAAAAGAGGTGTGTTAACTGCAGTACTTTGTGAGTACATACAGTACTGTGCGAAAGTCTTCGGCAGTCAGAGAAAATGTTTCAAGCTGTTTATGGCTGTACTAAATGTACATTTGCTCAGGGGAAAAAAAACACAAAGTCACAATAGAACATATGCAACTTAAGAGTAACACAATAAACACTAACAAGAATTTCTTCTGTTCTCCAAGAAGTCACTGCTATCCTGTTGGATGGCTAGATGAACACCACTTCAGTTCCCAAACCTCACTTCAGGGGCACCCCAGTCGTTCTATGCATTCGCTGAATTTCAGTGCAAATACTGTGGTAAGTTTAGGGCAGATTTCAAAATAGCATAAGCTAACAAACTTTGACAGAGATAAAAAATAAATAAATAAATACATTTCAGACTAAAATAACATCTTAGGTTGATGGGTAAAATCATCTCTGCAGTCCTGGTTTAACATCAACATGAAGATCATTTAAATTTGACTGGTTAAGACTTATGCAGAGTACTGAACATAATTTTACACATGTTATAACCCGTAGACATCTTGAGCATACCAGTCACTTCCTGTCTTTCTGCTCTTTGTGGGTGATGACATATCTTATTGAACCTGTAGCCAAGTTGTCAAACTTCTGGTTTTTCTGTCCGCGTAACAGTCAATCTGCCAGTGTGTATTAATTGAACGTGCATTTCACAATGCAGCTCTGTTTTGATCTGCCGCCTCACTGTGCCCTTGCGACTGCAGTGTTTACGCTCCAAAGACGCGCTTCATTTAGGCTGAATCCACGGTTTTTCTGCATGGAGCCCCAGACCTGTAACAAGAGGGGGATTCCTGCACTCACTCACACACGCTCATCCCCGAGGCTGGGAAATGCAGATGAGATATTTGATTGGGGAGAAAATAAGCACTATTAAAAATAAACACACACACGCACAAAGGCGGAGTCGGAGATGACTTCAAAAGGTTGTGTTTTTTCCATCGCTGTAATACAACATGACAGGTTTATAAGATTTGCCAGTGGCTGTTGAAATGTAGGAAATTGACTCGGGTCCCAGTAACCGACGGCACATTTACCTTAAAAAAATATAAGTAATAATAATACAACTTTAATGATAGGATTATTGCGTTAGCAGAATGGAAATAAAGCCCTAATTCCCTAGTCAGGCTAAGCCGCATGCTCCGAGGAGCCCTCCCTGGGAAGGGGGGGGGGGTCCTCATTGAGATTCTCAGGCTTTCTTGTTCTTGCGATTAAAAAAAAAAGAAAGAAACTGCGGCCCGCTTTCGGTTTGCAAAGGTAATGAGGACCTAATGAGGCTTGACTTGAATTTTTCAGCACTCGATTTCCCTCCACATGCAACAGGTTCCCATAGGACCAGGAGGAGATGTTTGGTCTCCATAAAAGCTTTTGCTGACGGATGGGTAGATGGTTAGATGGGTGGAGGAGGGAGGAGCACTGCTTCGCTTCGTGTTCGCGATGTCGGGATGGAGGGAAAAGGACGGCCTTCAGCCGGTGGGAAGGGCCCGCGAGCGCAAGGGGAAGCCAGGCCTGCAGATCTACACGGGCACAGCAGAATTCCAAAGCTGAGCTGGTCCAACGTTCTTCCATGGGATATCGAGGCTGGTCACTGTGCAGGTCCGGCTCAAACCGCTAGGCATTCATTTCGTAGCTTTTTATTAATGGATAATAATACTTTGAGTTATAATTATTTATAACCGTCTGTGTAGCGCGCTCTGATTTGCTCTGTAATCTGTATGACTACCAGGTACTATCGGTCAACCATCACAATTTGCAATTTGCAGTATTAACTAAAATGAACATTGCAGATCCTGTTTTTTCATTCCTCCATTTTCTAACTACTATTTCTGGTCGGGGTGGGGGCTGGAACCTATCCCAGGCAGCACAGGACACAAAGCTGTGTTGCGGTGCGGGGCGCCGGTCCGAATATGTCCAGACACACAAACATGCTTTTTTTGGCCAATCTAGATTCACCAATCAGATTGACTGCGTGACTTTGGACTGCAGGTGGGAAGCAGCCGAAGCCAGGAAGAGCAGGCAAACTCCACAGTCGCAATGCGAAGGCGGGATTCCAAGCCCCCGCCCTGGAGGTGTGAGATGACAGGGCTGGTCGCTGCGCTGGCCAAAGTCCTGCTGTGAAGGAAATATATCATGTATGTCGAATATATGGCAGTTACTTTGATTATATATATTGTGTGTGTGGCTGTGTGTGTGTGTGTATGTATGTTGAAAAAATCTATGTGAGTGTGAGTAAAATCAGACACAGCTGAAACACAACACATAACACAACTGAAGAAAATACAACAACAATATTATTATTATTATTATTATTATTATTATTATTATTATTATTAACAGTGTACTACTACTTGGGGTATTTCAATAAAAATACTCTCTTTTATTCATGACCTTGTCCTACAAGTTCAGACTAAAATGACATCTTAGGTTGACGGGCAAAATCATCTCTGCGGTCCTGGTTTGAAGCTATAATGAAGCTGTGCTTGACTCCTCAGCTGATATGACTGTTAATGAGCTGTACTTCTGAAAGAGGGATGAGCTGAGGAAGAGAGAAAAAAAAAAACCTAGCAGGTAGGCAGGGGCACTGCAATAGATCATTTCATTTAATTTAAGCAGAAAGGTCTTTGTTTCACAGTCAGATTGGGGGTTGGAAAGGGACCTTGGGCCCTTTCGGAGGCATTTTGCTGGCAAGCTTGTTGAGATTTGATTGCCTTTGTTGTGGTAATCTGAAATTAATTTACACTTGAACCCATCTTTCTTCCAGGCTCAATTTAAAACATTGTTATAATTATGTGCCCTGCATGAAACTGAGAACAGACACCGATATGAAGATCCTGAATATTTTAATTCCCTAGGTATTTAAGTCTTTTTTTCGTCGACTTATCTCGTAAGGTAATAAAACAAAACGTTCCCGTGCATGGGCTTACGGGAGAGGTATTTGCCTGAGGGGAAACAGTAATAAATGGTGTATTGGTACACATCTACTCATGTACTTGCTCAGTAGGTCATTCCTATCCTTCAAAAAGATGTTAAACTTCCACTAATATTAGCTGATACATGCCCAACACCATCTGACAAAGAGCCCTGCTACATTCCTTTCTGCTGTGACAGGCTTTTTATTTTTAATAGGCTTTGTTTCATAAGTCTATTTTGATAGCTATTTAAAAATTATTAGACTACCTGCTAATATCTGCCATTGATCTGAGCAGCGTGTGGCCCTTTGTATCAGTGTGAGCTTTTAATGTCCTTATCAGTATTCTTTTAATTTCAACGCACCCCCCTCCAAATCGCTGTTTGTGTTGGGGTATCTCGTTATCTATGCTGGGGCTCATCTTTGGTGATATCCTGTGGAGTTTCCTTGTACCGCAGGGCCACCAAGGTCATCGCCCTGGGCAGAAATTCCTGCGCAGTTCTTCTGCCAGGACATGGGGCATTGTGTGCGCAGACAGACTGCAGCTTCGCAGGCGGCCGGAACTGCGAGATCCAATCACTCACGTATAAAAACATCCATGCGAAAATACCCAGAGGGAATCGTGAGAGAAACACGGCAGAAAAGGAAAGACCAGATTCATTCTCTACTGTAATATCGCATTTGCTTTTTAGGCACTCTGTTAATCGTGTAGGATGTTACTTTCAAAATACACCAGCGGTTTTTACTCAAGGGTATACATCTATATTTACATACGTATATATTTTCAATGTGAGCGAAATATGGTGCTATCCCAAATAATAAAAACAATGATAATAGTCACATGGTAAAACTATGCACCTGTATTTATTGTTTGTCAGTGGATAGCACAATGAAGCATATTTAGTTAAGACAGACTTTAAAAAGTAGAGTATTAGAACGAAAACAGACGCACTGCTTTGCCATAAAAGTGAATGAATTTGCATGGAAACTTCTAAATAATTGATTAAGCTGAAAAAAAGTGAAATCCAAAAACACTGTGCAAAAGACACAAAACATCATTTGTAATACAAACAAACATTTTCCATCTACATAATTCACTTTATTCTCATTTTGTTATGACAATTCTGTGTTTCTCACTGAATAATCAGTTCTGAATATGTGAGGTTTTTAAATAATTAAACAAAGCCGTGGCAATTCTGTTGTGATTTTAGAGATTTGTTTTAGATTAGTTTTTTTTTCTGTTCACTGAGGAACTGAAATCATGTCATTTTTCGTTTCCTTGGGAAGATGATGGAAACAGCGGCAGTAAGACTGTCTATTCTTCAACTTGTTTTTTCTCCCCCCTCAAACTTTTATCTGACCTCATCCATTCCTGCTGCATAAACGCCAGGGTCGCCCGGCCCACGTTTCCCGACACATGCCCCCGTGAGCTGAACTGTCCAGGCCTTCCCTCCCAGGTGATAACATCGACCGGCCCAGTTATTGATCGCTTACTTTCGGGGTGTTCGCTTCCTGAAAAGTGTGACACGACACGGTGGGAGGGGCGGTGTGTGAAAGTCTGGCACTCAGACCTCAAAATTAAACACTCGCCCATTGAGATCGGCTGCCAACGGGGCCGGGCTGAAATATTTAGGGAGACGAGCAAACAAACAAACAAGCGAACTGCATGAGGCAGCACAACCCTTAATCTTTTCTTATCGCCAAACTGTTGTGATCCCTCCCAGGCAATTCTCCATTCATGCCATTGATTTTTATCACCTCTGGACGCCTCCGTGAAGGGGGCTACTTTTCCTTCACTAACCCCTCCCGTGATGCTCAGGGTTCCTAGAAAAGAGAGAAATATCTTTCTGCAAGAGGAAAATGGGTCCAAAATACACGTATAAAAAGCATTACTCCACTGAAAATTGTTGTATTTATTATTTGGAGAAAACACTGCAAGGAAATACAGAAAACCACGTAAGAAATGCGTAAAAGTGAACAATCACATGCAAAATTTCTGGTGTAATTCTATGTCTTTACACTTTGAGTGTTAAAAAGAATAATTGTTTGTTTGCAAATTTTGCTGTTTTATGTTTGTTTAAATATACATTTTTGTTTCTTTCTTAGGAAAGCCTTTCAATACCGACTACAGGCACGGTTTTATGAAGATAAATGAAACAAGAGAAAAATTTTGAGTTGAGAAGACTGACCCCCTGCTACTACTTTTTCCCCCTGCCCCATGGGGGTTAGTCACACACGGTAGGTGAATGAGCTCTTAGAAACAGCCCTCCAAACTCAGCACGTGGGGGGGGGGTCGCTTTTGCCACTGAAACGATAGCATGCTGGAAAGTTATCATCGCTATCATAATAATTGTGAGGAAACCCCATTACAAAACTGTTACTGAAATCAGACAGCTTGGCATGTTAAACGCTACTTGGAAACTTTGTCCTGCGTTGTGTCTCTTGTTCTGTGCCGTGTTTTTAAGCGATGACATGTATGGCCTGCCGGTGCCTGTGACTTAACGTTTTCAGCTTCACATCTGAGCTCTCTCAGAGCTCATAGACGCTGGAATGTACGGACTAAGTGCGCCTAAAACAGGCCGTCGAGCTAAACGCTAATCGCTAACTTCCCGGCAGGCAGCCTCTGCTTTGTGTTTCGCCAGTGAAACATGACACTGGTAATGGCATGCCACTTGTCTGTGAAACCAGCTGGCTTTACCTCTGCTTAGAAGTATCCAGGCACTGCGAGGCTCTCTCTCACACACACAAAGCAGTGCTATCTGAACGCACACACAAGTTATGCGTGTTATGCAAGTTTGGCGCACAATATCGAATCAGAACCTTATCCTTAGGTACAGGCCTCATACCTTTTATCAGCAATGTTTATAATTAAAAGCTATGCATTCTCATAAATCCATAGAAGAAAGGCAGAGAGAGAGAGAGAGAGAGAGAGAGGGGTTGGGGGGGGGATTTGTGAATGGTGCCAGGTGGAATCTATCAGCAGATACTTTTGGTCAAAGCTGATTCTGGATGTCTGTACCTGCTTTGAAGAAATCCAATAATTTAAAGCATTCTGAGTTTTTATACCAAGCACCGTGTATGAACTCACAGATCATAGTGGAGGCAATATTATTAAAAATGACCTAAAAAAGATTTGTATTGTTACAAAAAATGAGTTTCCTTCATTTAGAATTAGCACTGAATTGAATGTTTTTGTTTGTTTTTCAAGAAGACGATGGTGACAAGCTGCCTCCTCATTTGACCTCACTCTTCTTTCCCGTTTATTAGAAATACAGTTGCCTGACTTCTTCTCCCCGGCTGCGTATCCTGTTAGCCGTGGGCTTCAGCGGACGCCTTCACCGGCGGCACCTCATGTCGGCGTCTCTGACGGCCGCGCTCGCTACGTGACGCCGCAGTGCTGAGTTGTCATGATTGCAGATCGCGCGAGTTCATATAGATTTACTGTCACCGGGGGAGACCCCCACTTGCGTGACAGCGGTCACGGTGGCCCAGGCGGGAGCGGGAGGTGGGTAAGGGTTAAGTGTTACTTGCCTCCCGACTTGCTACATCGTCCTCCCTGTTCCCACACGGAGACGAGCTGGTGGTATATCCATCATGGGGTTGATGACATGATGGATTACTGGTGTCACTCCTGGTACAGTCAAAATCAGTCTGGCACTGATAAGGTGCAGCAGCCACTCTGTTTCCAACCAAAGGGACCTATTTTTCTTCCTTATTAAAACAGAGGGAGCACCTCAGCCGAGACAAATTATTCTTACTGCCCGCAGTTTTATTTTCATTGCATGTGATTAATGTGTTTTTGTTATTATTTACAGATGTGAAATCCGCTAGTGACATCACTGTTGTAAAGTTAACCGTGCCACCTTGCTCGGAAACACACACATGTGCTTGTTAACAGCTTTGCTGGGAAAAACCCAAATTAATATCAGTCCTCGGTTTCAAAATATTGTTATTTCTGCTTTTGCCTATGCTCCCCTTGTTTTTGTTATTGCTATTATCAAAATTATTGTTTTATATATTTAAGATTTCCAGACTGTATATTCATTTTGTAACTGCTGTTGGACACATCATTGTTTTTGAATCGGTTATGGGAAACATTTGCTGCATTTTTGTATCTAAAGTTGCTTGCATATGTGTAGTAGGTAAATGTTTTTAGCATTTTGTAATTTTTACCTTTTATTTGTTAACTTTCCACTATTTCTGCTATTTACTGTTTTATTTTGTCATTTAAGTGACTATATTTTTTATTTTCAATAACTGACACCTTGAAAGTTATTTCTAATTTTATTCAAACCTTCATTATTATTGGTTATTGATTGTCTTTTAATAATATGAAAAATATATAGAAAACCACATATCCTTGTAAACCTTCCTCTGTCAAGCATCAGTAAAATAAGAAGTAGTGTACAATTACGCATGCTTAATTTAGAGTTCAGTGCAGTTCCTGCACTTCATTATGCATAGACATGAACAATAGTTATAGGGGTGTCTGCTGTGTTTAGCGTTACAGTGAATGCCTTCATTCATAACATAGTGTTTTTGTCATTTTAAATGCACTTTTATGTTCATGGATCTAAACAGGGTTTATACCTGAGGAGTAGGTTAGGAGGTCAGTGGGAGGCGTGGCCTTTGAAGCCTGCAGAAACACCTCCCTACCACTTTGTGTGCCCTTGAATTGCAAATTGTTTTGAAATATGCATAATGAGCTCAGAGGCAGAGTGTTTGGCTCTTTGTCTCCCTCACTCAGCCCTTAGTACAACTAAACGAGTTAAGATGGGCCCTTTGAATTACAAACCATCCCGGTACTTATTGATGCTTCTGTGAGTGAAGTAGGTAAATGGGAAAAATTGGTGCAATTAAAACCCACCCAATGAAAAATACCCAAGACGGGATAAGTCGTTTTTGGTTTTGCCCGACATAGCATCAGTCATAGATAAACGGGCACTGTCTTGTTCAAAATGTGACAGTTTTATTGACTGTGTCTGCAGGTTTTACAGTAAAAAGAATATTTTAAATACATTATATGTTTCCGATTCACACATTTGATCAAGTTTAAAATGATAGCTTTGCTATATATATTTTATGAAATATCGTATCATTTCAAATATGAAAAGCATTACATTTCATAGTAATTTCAATGTATTTGAATCAACACATTACTACTTAATAAATTATGCATGCAAATAGACACTTGTTCTTTGTAGCCATATAATTTATTTTGGCTTAAATCTGTTTAATATATTTTTCATTATTCAAAATTATTACACTGACTAAATTTACATACTGATTCATATTTCTGCTTTCTGACGCTGTTTGATATGCTTACTTAATTAATCTTTGCATTTTATATTTTTTCTCCAAGGACAGCAGCGATATCCATGGTAAATTAGCAGTGCGCTTGGAATAAATGACGATGATGACGACGATGACGATGATTATTCTCGTCACTAGAGTAATAACGGCTATAAAAATAGTATCAATAAGAGCAAATAGTTACAATGCTAAAAGAAGCGTCAAGAGTACTGATTGAGCCCCTAACGAGGATCTGAATGCGTTGCTTTTTTCTCCAACAATCCTAAACCTCCGTAATCCAATAAGCTTCTCTGTACAGTGGCTTGTTTTCACTCTTCCATAACACCTCAGCCCAGCTCTGCCTATGTTCTTTCACAGGCAGGTGAGAGCCTTGAAGACTGCTTATTATGCAAGCCAGAGGGTGTTCCCAGTCCCAAACAGAATGTAATTTGTAATTAAGCATCATTTACTTACTTCTGCACTGATTTACACCAGGGTGGGGATAGAGGTGGGGAAAGTGGGTTGGGGGGGGGGAGGGCTTAAAGACCATATCTAGTTTATGGATTTTTGTTCCTACGAGCAGTCTGATGGACATTGCCAGATCCTCTCAGGAAGGGTGACAGTAGAGGCAGAGAGAGGCAGGAGGGACATTCTGTAGTATCCTAGTGACTGCTGTACGGGGTGGATTATCATTTATAGTAAGATGTCAGAAACTGACAATCTTGCTAAGAGTAATTTGTTCACAATGATATTTACTGTACACAAAACAATTAGGATTATCATCCTACATACAATCATACCTGCACATGATTGAAAATAAGCCTAAAGTAACTTTAATCTCTTTTTGATGTTTTTAAGCTTACAATACGGGCAATGTATTACATTTTCACAAGCTGGTGTTGAAAAATATTTGTATATTCTGTTCCAAAAAAATAGATTTCAGTTCAAATCTCTTTCATACTTTGTTGGACAGGGAAAAAAAGAAAAGTGTTGTGCCAGTGTTATCCAACACAAGCCGTAGTGCCTATTTGAGCATGATTGCTACATACCACTCTAAGTGCGATTAAGCTTCCTTTAGTGCACTGATGACATCACCAATGGCTCAGAGCCGGAGCTACTGAGGAGCATTAGAATGCATTTCATGCTTGACTTACTCAAAATTGCAGAACTGAAATTTACACCTTATTTGATGTCCTCCTACCCGCTGTTAATTGGTAAAGGGATCTCTGACCCTTTTGATCCCCTGCACAATCCCCTAAATGGCCAAGTCTGCTAAACTGTTCTGTGGGAGACACTCAGCAGTTGCCCAGTAATGTGAAGTCTCTCTTCTTTTCCTCCTATTCCTTTTCTGGCTTTTCTCGCCTTTGGTTTATGTCCAAGCTGCACAGAAATAAGAGATGACAGTTGTTACAGATATGCTGGTTTAATTACTTGTCAGCTTATAGCCGATATCTCGGCCAGCCAATGCGGAAGCTTAACTTTTTTTTTTTTTTAGTAGCTTAAAGCATGACCAGCCTCCAGTGCCTCAGTATTTAACCATAAAACCCAGGAAATCTGGAAGATAAAAAAAAACACGAGCGGCTTTTCTAATTTTATGGGGTAGAGTGGGCAGTTTTCTGTCACCGTAGGAACTGGCTTTCTCTTCCGGTGCCTTCCGTGTGATAACGTGCAAGCGCGGGATGGACAGAAGGAGCCACGCGGAGAGTGAAATGACATCACGCGAAGGCTCGTGCCGGTGCAGCGCCGAGTGGCTCAGCCGTGGCGGCTCTTGTGTCCTGCATTTGTTGCTGTTGTCACTTTTAAGTCTGTTTTACAAATTGATATTCTAAGCCATTTATTCGACAAAAAAGAGCAACTCTGTTTCGGAATCCATTTAAGAGTATTCGGCGCGGCACAACTGCACCCGAGCCCCCCGTCGACGCCTGTGTCAGCCATAGTCGTCTTGTAGCGAGCAAATAGGAAAACATCACAAGCGCGAAACTGCTCGTAATGACGCTACTTAGTTCATTTATACCTAAATGAAAGGCAAACCTGTGTTTTGTTTCCCCTCTCATGTAGCAAATTCAGTAAAACCGAATGATTTTGACTTTCTAATTAGCGATGTTTGTTCTGAACAACAAAGGGTGGTAAGTGGTTCTCTACGTCTTTATCTCCAAATGTTATTATATATAACATTTGAAGTCAAAACATAAAATCAGCCTCTCATATATTTCATGCATTTGTGGCTCTGCTGATACCTTGATCTCATTATTCATATGGCTGTAATTAATATTCCTGGGTATGCAGTTTGTTTTCAGTTATTCCTAGAAATAAAGGATAAAGAAAGAAGACAGACAATGAAATATATGTTTAGACTCAGTGGAGTAAACTGATTACATCTGTAAGAGTGTAATATATGTAAGTTCGGCCCATTTTTGTATTGCTTCAATTATCTGGTTTTTCAGACAAATGCATTTGAAGGGTAGTAATTTTACTCCTCCTGGAAATTATTGCCAGTTAAATTTATTTCGCGAGGAACAAATGTTTACAAGTAGGACAATGGCGGCAGAGTGTTCGTTGTTGGACATATGCCTGCAGAGGAGTGTTGCTTTTGCTTTTGGTCTGTTTCACACAGACTTTCTGTTGAGGTGAAGCAGATTATCGGCTAATATAGTTTAGACACTGTGCTGTTTCAAGAGATGCGAAAACAGAGCACAATGGATTTCTAAGACCCGTGGAGGGGGGAAAAAAACTCTCTGGCAGTAAGAGAAACCTGGAGATACCTGTACCGTATCTTCTGGTGTCGTCTTCTGACGGTTAGGGGCAAAAAGGAAGGATAGGGGAATTAACACTCATATAATTTATCTGTGCCCTCGTGATGTGTCGTCTTTTTCAGTCTGCACTGGCGGGATAGGAACAGGGGCCCCGAGGCAAGAATATCTTTGTGTGACACCATCACCATGCAGAAGCAATAAGCAGAGAGCTCTCTGCTCATAAGCCTGTCTGAATTACAAGTGGTAAGCAGAAAGTGTTCAAACCAGCACATTGTCCTAACAGCCTGGCAAGGTAAGCATTTCACAGCATCTAATTTGGTCATACATTAGAATATCACATAAAATAGAGCACCACTGTTTCACTTCTTTTTTTACGCCATTTTATACTTTAACTTATGTTGGTTAAGGGGCGTGGCTAAGGCCTTAAAATCTATCCGGTTTATCGGTTAACATACTGTGTTAAATTTTGCTATTAATAACTTAGTGGGTCTGTCCAGTTGATGGGCTATCCTACACGTGTAGCCTGTGACAGGGGCAAAATTCTAGCTGGGTATAGACCGCGCTGATTTTCACTGTGAAACATGTTACCATTCTGCTATATGAGGTTGACAGTAGTAGCATAAATTCAGCAGGAAAACTGTGATTAAATGGCATTATGATTGTATTGCAACTGTAAAAAAAATGCTCATTTTAATACTATAAAGCACGTCTACATTAAATGAGTGATTTTGCACTGCAAAGCAGATAGATTGAAGTCTGATGCCCATTGCTGAAAGCAATTAGGTGTTTATATCAAATTATATTGAAAAAAAGTGTTATAGGTACAGAGTCATTATTCTTTATGAAGAAATTATGTTTTTACTGATTCTGTAATTATGGTAATCGTGCACAATTCACATGTATAATTATCATGGAGCTGTGCTGGAGCATGTGCCAGGGATTGCAGTGATTTTGTTTTCCCCTGGAGTGTGGCTGATTGTGGTGTTAACATCCTAGGTGATGTTTTCAGAGAAAGACAGGCAAAGATAACTATTCGCTATTTCCTTTGGCGAAGATTACCCATTTAGACACCCCGCACAGAACGAGTTAGAGAATTGATTTATTTTTGAGTAATTTGACACTGTGGAAGGAAATTTCCACAGTGAGCCGTCACGACTTTTAGCCTGAGGACGGAAGCTCTGTGGCGCGGCTTGTTATAACCCTCAGTGCTTGTCTGCTCTTGACATTTGTAATCCTGGAAACAGTGCGATACATGTAAAAGCAAAATGGCTGTCGTCCTTCTTTGTTTCTAAGAACATTAATATGTTCTTAATCACTTTTGTAAATAAGGTGCAAAACAATTGGCTAATCTGTTTCAAATATTATGGAAATATTTATGATTCGTCCCATTTTTTTTTTCCATTCTTAGCTTTTGGCTTGAGTGTCAGTACATATTCCAAAGTCTTTTTAATTGCTTTATGCTTTTTCTAATTGTCTGTGGAGGTGTTGGTTAACTAATAATAATGATAATAATAATAATCATTATCATCATCATAAAAACATTCACAGATATGACTAGTTGATTTATTCATATGTATTTTTATGTACAAGGGCATCAAACTGCAGATTTATTGAGAGCTCAAGCTAAAGATCTATTGTCTCAAAAAATATTGTCCTCTCTATTCATACATTCAGTACAATAGCAGGTTTGCAATATTTTCATGCATAAATATAATAAAAATATGCTTAAACGGGTGTTTCAGGACAACTTCCACCTGTAAAAACTATGCAGGTGGATGAGTAATCAAATTTAGTTAAAATATTATGCAATGC